TTGTTGGCGTTGTTGTTGTTGTTGTTGTTGTTGTTGTTGTTGTTGTTGTTGTTGTTGTTGTTGTTATCGTTGTCGTTGTCGTTGTTGTTGTTGTTGTTGTTGTTGTTGTTTTTTGTTGTTGTGGTGGTGGTGGTGGTGGGTGTGGTGTTGGTGACCGTTGTTGTGGTCGTCGTCGTTGTCGTCGTTGTCGTCGTTGTCGTTGTTGTCGTTGTTGTCGTTGTTGTCGTTGTTGTCGTTGTCGTTGTTGTCGTTCTTGTTGGTTTGTTGGTTGGTTTGTTGGTTTGTCGGTTTCTTGGCTTGTTGATTTGTTGGTTTATTGGTTTGTTGGTTTATTGGTTGGTTGGTTTGTTGGTTTATTGGTTGGTTGGTTTGTTGGTTTGTTGGTTTGTTGGTTGGATTGTTTGTTTTTATGTTTTTTGGTTGGTTGGTTGGTTTGTTTGGTTTGTTTGGTTTGTTGGGTTTGTTTGTTTGTTTCTTTGTTTGTTTGTTTGTTTGTTGTTGTTTGTTGTTGCTGGTTGTCGTTGTTGGTGGCTGTCGTTGTTGTTGTTGTGGTTGTTGTTGTTGTGGTTGTTGTTGTTGTTGTTGTTGTTGTTGTTGTTGTTGTTGTTGTTCTTGTTGTTCTTGTTGTTGTTGTTGTTGTTGTTGTTGTTGTTGTTGTTGTTCTTGTTCTTGTTCTTGTTCTTGATATTGTTCTTGTTCTTGTTGTTGTTGTTGGTGTTGTTGGTTTGTTTGTTTGTTTGTTTGTTTGTTTGTTTGGTTGTTTGTTTGTTTGGTTGGTTGGTTGGTTGGTTGGTTGGTTGGTTGGTTGGTTGGTTGGTTGGTTGTTGTTGTTATTGTGTTTTTGCTCTTGTTGTGCTGTTCGTGTTGTTGTTGTTGTTGCTCTTGTTGTTTGTGCTGTTCGCGTCGTTCTTGTTGTTCTTGTTGTTTTTTGTTGTTCTTGTCCTTCCTGGAAAGGGCGTGTTTTCCCGAACGCGTAGCATAGGGTTCTCGTGGGGGTGAAGCCTTGTTCGCCGGATGTTGTGCAACCGTTCGCAACCGTTCGTATGATTGCGCTATGGCTCTCCCAGTGGGGCAGTGCAGAACGCGTGAGTTTGATGACGTGTGATGTGCTGTTTTCGTTGGCCGTGCGCGAACCGTAGCTCGACGTGTCGTGTCGCTGCACATGCGGAGTGTTTCGCGAGGCTTCACGTTTGCATTGCAAATGCAGCGGGGTTCGCGTTTCAGGGGTCGTCTTTTTTTGAGGTGTTTTGCTTGGAATGCTCGCGCAAGCGTTTGCTGGAGTGTCGTTTTCGTTGGCCCTGTCGTACAATCGGCTCGTTTTCACGACTGCAGATTTGCAAGAAATCGGTCGAAACCATTCTGGCGCTGCAGCCCCGCGCTAGTTTTTTTCGTGCACGGTGCGGGAGTGTCAAATTTCGATTTCGTGGCAGGCGCAGCATTTTGAGCGTTTTGCATGTTGCTGTAACGTGTTTTTTCGTGGCTCTTTAGAGCTTTTCGTGCAGATTTCGCGGCAGGCGCAGCGCTTTAGAGCTTTTCGTGCAGATTTCGTGGCAGGCGCAGTACTTTCGAGCTTGCGCGCCGATGTCGTGGCAGGCGCAGCACTTAATGGGTGGGTCGAGTCGCTCTCGCTGTGGCGCGGTGCGCCTTTTGAAAGTGCAATGCGAACCCTCTCTGCGCACTTTGGGTGGGCCGAATCGCTCTCTCAGTGGCGCGGCGCACACTTTAAAAATGCAAAGTCAACCCTCTGCGCACTTTGGGTGGGTCAAATCACTCTCGCTGTGGCGCGGCGGGCATTTTGCAAATGCAAAGTGAATGCAAAGTGTACCCTCTGCGCACTTTGGGTGGGTGCGCGGTGCACACTTTGAAAATGCAAAGTGAACCCTCCGCGCGCTTTGGGTGAGTCAACTCGCTCTCGCTGCGGCGCGGCGGGCGTTCTGCAAATTCAAAGTGAATGCAAAGTGTACCCTCTGCGCACTTTGGGTGGGTGCGCGGTGCACACTTTGAAAATGCAAAGTGAACCCTCCGCGCGCTTTGGGTGAGTCAACTCGCTCTCGCTGCGGCGCGGCGGGCGTTCTGCAAATTCAAAGTGAATGCAAAGTGTACCCTCTGCGCACTTTGGGTGGGTGCGCGGTGCACACTTTGAAAATGCAAAGTGAACCCTCCGCGCGCTTTGGGTGAGTCAAATCGCTCTCGCTGCGGCGCGGCGGGCATTCTGCAAATGCAAAGTGAATGCAAAGTGTACCCTCTGCGCACTTTGGGTGGGTCGAATCGCTCTCGCTGTAGCGCGGCGCGCGTCTTGAGACAAGAGACGTGACGAGAGACCTTTTGCTCAGACGTGTTGGCCGGAAGTGTCGATCAGAAGTGTTACGCAGATGTGTTGCTCAGCGGTATCGATCAGAAGTGTCGACCAGAAGTGTTGCTCAGAAGGCTCGCTATGAAGTGTTGATGAGCAGTGTGGATTAGAAGTGTTGCTCAGAACTGTCGAAAAGAAGTGTGGTTCAGAAGTGTTGTTCAGCGGTGTCGCTCAGAAGTGTCAGTGAGAAGTGTTGCGCAGAAGTGTCGCGCGGCAGTGTGGTTCAGAAGTGTGGATCAGAAGTGTCGATCAGAAGTACCACTCAGAAGGGTGTCGATCAGAAGTGTTACTCGGAAGTGCTGATTAGAAGCGTCGATCCGAAGCGTTGCTCAGAAGTGTTACTCAGAAGTGTTGCTCAGAAGTGTTACTCAGAAGTGTTGCTCAGAAGTGTTACTCAGAACTGTTGCTCAGTGTCGATCAGAAGTGTTGCTTGGAAGTGTCGCTGAAAAGTTTCGATCAGAAGTGTTGCACAGAGGTGTTGATCAGAAGTGTCACTCAGAGTGTCGCAGAAGTGTGGATCAGATGTGTGGATCAGATGTGTCGCTCAGAGGTGTGATCAAAAATGTCGCTCAGGGATGTCGCTCATTGCCCAGTAGAAGTGTCGCTCAGAAGCGTGGCTCAATGGTGTCGCTGAGATATGTGTATAGAAATGTCGCTCGGATCGTCGCTCAGGAGTGCCGCTCAAAAGTGTCTCTGATGTGTGTTTGTGTGGAAGTGTGGCTCAGAAGTGTCGCTCAGGAGTGCCCCTCAGTGTTGCTCAGAAGTGTTGTTCAGAGGTGTCGCTCAGAAGTGTCGCTCGGGGGCGTCGCTCAAGAGTGTCTCGTGTCGCTCAAAAGCGTCGCTTGCGTGTGTGTGTGTGTGTGAGTGTGTGTGTGTGTGTTTGCGCAAGTGTTGCTTGAAGTGCTGCTCAGAAGTGTCGCCTATGTGTGTGTGTAGAAGTATCGCTCAGTTTGCCGGAAAATATTGCTCAGAGGTATGGCTTCAGGATTGTCGCGTGGCTAAAAGATGTTGCAATCAGAGGTGTCGCTTAGAAGCGTAATTCGACACACCGCTTGCAAGTGTGTTCAGAAGTGCCGCTGAAGTTGTCGCTCGGAAGTGTCAGCCAAGCTCTGCTCAGAAGCGTCCCTTGAATCCCTTGAAAGTGTCAGTGACAAAAGTCGCTCGCGTGCGTTGTGTTGAAGAGTGTTCAGAAGTGTCTGTTGAACGGTCGGTCAGAAGCTCAGATCCCAACGTTGAAGTGCAAGTCTACAGCACGCGCAGCACAGCTCCAGCTCGAAATTCGCAACTTTGTAGCACATGTCTAGCGCGCGCTGGAAAATCGCAACTGTGTAGTGCAAAAATCTAGTACGCAAAGTACAGGTTTCCAGCTCCGGCAGAAAATCGTAACTTTGTAGTACAAGTCTAGTGCGCGAAGCGCAGTGTCCAGCTCCAGCTCGAAACTTGCAACTTTGTAGCACACATCCTGCACGCGCTGGGAAAATCGCAGCTTTGCAGTACAAGTCTAGTACGCAAAGCACTGGTTTCCAGCTCTAGCTGAAAAATGGCAACTTTGAAGTGCAAGTCTAACACGCGAAGTACAGGCTTCCTGCTCCAGCTGGAAAATCGCAACTTTGTAGTACAAGTCTGGTGCGCGAAGTACAAGTTTGCAGCTCTGGCTGGAAAATCGCAACTTTGCAGCACATGTAATGTACGAGAAGTGCAGGTTTCCAGCTCTTGCTGGCAAATCGCAACTAAGCAGTACAAGTCTAGTACGCGAAGTACAGGTGCATAAACCAGCGCTGAACCATCTGCCGCAAGCACAGCCACGCCCACATTTGCTCCCAATCGGTTTGGAACGCACCCGGAGCCAACCCTAGCCTAAACCAAAACCCGGTGATGCTGAGGATGTTGAAAACGACGCAGGATGCTAAAACGATGCCGGGACTACCCCAAACCTACCCTGAACCTACCCCAAACCTTTGTACGACAGGCTGTGCCAGGGTTAGGCTAATGCCAGGGCTATGCAAAAAAGAGCACCTCAGCCTGTCTTTCTTGTGATTGTTCTTGTCCTTATTGCTGTTGTTCTTGGTCATCTGATTCCAATTGTGTTGGAGATTACTGATGTTTGTCAAAGTTTGTCCAGCCGGTCCTCGGCTCTCTTTGTTGGTTGTGTTGTCTATGTCTTCTACGAGCTTGTCGTGTTCCTCTTCAACTGGTTGGCCTGCAATGAAAGGAGCGCAGTTGAGTGTTTATGTGCTTGTGCTTATGCACATGGTGGCTGTATATGTAGAGCTCTCAGACAGTATCTAAATAGAGCTATCATTAAGCATATAGCAGCCGGGATCAAGTAGAGCTACAATCAAGCGAGTAGCAGGCGAGATCACGGCTGCTTGGATTCAACTGACACGGGGGCGCGCTAAACCGCACTCAAATACAGCACTCCAGCAAACAACAACCCCCGCCTCCCCCCGCTTTTTATGGAGGGGTCGGCGGTTGTTGCCACTGTGGATATTTTTATATTGTTTGCTGCCATCCGAAAGACACATGAATCTAAAAGTAAGAGGGGATTGTACAAGCCAGCAATGTTTGCAGGCATGCTTGGCACTTGTGCCTGCATGCTTGCGTGCAAGCACACTTGGGGCGTGTCTGTAGATGTTCCCTGCCACAGGCCCTTGCAGCGATGGGATTGGCACTGAGCGCAGCAGCATCAGACCCGCTGGACCCTACAGGCCTTGAGATCGCATGCTCCGACGTCACGCCCACTGCTGCAGTGCAGTCTGTTTCAAGGCCAGACTGCTGCGACAAGAGTAGCCAATCTGCAGCTGCGGCTGCTTGAGATGGTCCGGAGCTTGGGCGTTGGGTCAAAGGTGGAGGTTGGGTGTTGCGTTTGTGATCCCTCCACACAGGCTGATGAGAAGCCCATTGACGAGGAGCCCTTTGTTGTAGCTGTCCCTCCATGGCCAAGCGAGCCTTTGAAGGACGTGCCAGTTGAACGGAAGCGCACTCTGGCGGCCCGTCGCTCAATTGGTTCGGATATCGCCGATGTGCCGATATCGCCATTCTCAAGGCAGAACGCGATGTCGAACAGCGCTGCGGCGTGGTGTGGTGCGCGCGCAGATCTCCGGTACCAACTTGGAGTGAGATGTCTCCAGGTCGGGTGTCATCGTCCGCCGGTGCTATGCCCAAAAGGTCTTGCGAGTGCTGACAGTCTTGACTTTCAGCTGCTTACTTGAGCCTTGCAAGGATGGCGCAGCAGCAACTGACAATCCCTGCCCTGCTTGAGACTACAAGTTCCTTGAGTGTGAGACCTATCCAGAACCTCTCTGCGACAGTTGAATCCCTCCTGCCAAAGGTCGAGCCTTCGCGCGCTCCATCAGCGGCCTCTCCATGTTCGTGGCTGCCCCCGCCTTGGGGAAAGTGTCAAGCAGGTTGAACAGCCGCTTACAGTTCTGCTTAGGACTGCGGCCTGAAGTCGCTATGCAATCTGTACAGGAGTGATGACCGTGACACACAATGACACTTGAGATCACTTGAGCCACGTGTTTGTCTTTTCATAGATTCCAGGCTGGTGCCAGCAGAGTCTAGGCCAGAACTTCTGAAGGTGGGCGCGCGTTGTTGATGCAACCGACATGTTTCCCAGTTTGATGGCTGTGCCAGGGCATTTTCTCGTCGATATCCCATCGCACTGTCGCACTTGACTTGGTTGACTTGAGTGACTTCAGTGCTCAGAAGCACAGGTTTGTCTCATCAACTCTTCGCTGAGAGGTGAGCAACATGTTTGTGGGCACGCCAGAGACACAGGCAGCGGCCTGTTTATTGTTTTAATATTTTTGCTTAATTATTTGTTTTGGAGAAGCAAGTGCAAGGCAAGAAAAGAAGAGCAGGATAAGAAGGAAGGTGGAGGCTGACGGAGAGACGTGTTTCTGCTTCTCAAAATCCAAGACACAATTTGCTGTATTAAGTTGGTCCACTTGCAGGACCAAATTCTTGGAAGATAGCTGCTAAGGAGAGGGTTTGAGACCTGAGCAATTTTGCAGCCGTGCTTCCGAGGAACGTGTGGATCAGGTGAAGGACTTGATGTTTTTGGCGCGAGAACTTGGGCACCCGTGGAGACCCAAGACCACGCCTGCGTCCAGAGAACCAATAATTGGAGTTCAGAAACTTGGCATCTTAGGGCGCTATTCATCGGTCTTCTAGACCAGCCAGCTGGATCAGCCGGCAACCTGGAATGGGCGTGCAATATCTTGCATGCGGTTTCATGAGGTTTGGACGGGCGAGATTATGCGCGAGGCTGTCGATCTGCAGGCAGAGCTGACTGCGGCTTGCCCGGTTGCCAGCTTGCCAGATGCAGGCTGCTTGTCTCCCAGAAGAGCTGCAAAAAGAAGTATGTCCAGTCGCGTTGCGCCCAAAGCTGGAATCTTAGATGCGGTTCTGTGCGCGATGCAGTCCGATGCAGTCAGTCAACGCAAGCGAACGCAAGCGCGTTTGCGCCAGGCTTTATACCTATTTGTTCTATCCGAATGCTGCCCTCCGGCAGGCTGCCAGGCACCTGGCAACTTGGGAAGCAAAGCTGCTTAAGACGGCAACCGAACGGCAACCGAACGGCAACCGAACGGCAACCGTCTTAACCGTCTTAAGGTTGTGGCGCTTATGGCAAACTATTTCAGCTGCGAGTCGCCGCAAGCTTTGTCCTCCAAGCACCCCGAGGACAATGCCCAGAGGTGGTTGCGCATCAGTGGCATATTGCTTTGTGGTCAGGTCTGAAAGTTTTTTGCATGATTGGGAATGATGGGGGCTTGTTTATAGCTTTGGCTCGGACACTTGCTTCACCGTTGAGGTGTTTCTTAGAGGCACCTGAATCTTGCCACGTCAGACTGTCAGAAAGGTATTTTGTCGACATTTGCCGTGTGAACCATTGGACACGCACTTTTAGTGCGCCCAGTGCGCTTCATCAAAGTTGCAGTGGACCTTTGGGCTTCCAAGACAATCCATTTGTTCCTCTTGCAGGAGTGGCCTTTGTTGGCCAAGAATCTTGTGCTTGCCCTTGGACATTCCAGAGCTACAACTCGAGAGGCAAGCTGGTCTGAATCAGTGTTACCTGCTGCCAACTTGAATCTGTTGCTCTCTGCTTGGTCGCATCACTCGCTCCTGCACGCTCACTCCCATGTTGGCGAGCTTGTCCTTTGAACCCAGTCTGTTTTTGGCGACAGCGAGGCGAGGTTTTGTGGGTAGACTCGCCTGAGAGATGTCACAGGGGTCTCACGCAGAGATCGCCTGAGAGATTGTGCCGACAAGTAGCAAGATCGGCCAAGAGATTGCGAGAGATGTCACCAAGAGATCGCCCAAGGGATTGCGTCGAGACATGCCACTAAGAGACCGAGAGAGGGCAAGGAGAGATGTTGCAGGGAGATTGCTCAGAGACATTGCTCGGAGTTATGGCGCTTGAGATTGCGCAGAGTGATTGCATGTGAGTGCCAACTCGCGAGTTCAAATTGTTCCTCCTGGTCTTTTCAGGCGGCGCGGCAGGACCAACCACAGTCTGCGAAACTTCGACGCCCTTGCAGATTCAGTGCCCGCGCAACCCGTTGCGGGCCCAAAACACAGGCCAGCGCTGACAGGGGCATTTTGGGTGGCGCCGTCTGCCGGCCGACTCTGCCTCGCGCCCGCTTGTTTGGTGAAGGTGATGCCGGGGCCAAGCGGGTAAACCAAGCATTGCGAAGGTGGAAGCGGGATGAGTGCTGGTTCAGGGTGTTCCGAGGAGGAAATCGTGCTTTTCGGCAGCGGTCACACGCTCAAGACTAAACTCGCGGCCCGCAAGCCACCCTCGGCTGAGCGCTGAGCGGAAGGCCAGCTGCCAGAAGCTTTGCGGACTATGCCGACAAGATCCCCACGGTGATGTTGCGGAAGAAGGCAGCGTGAGAGAAAGGCAGGGGGCTCCGTAATAGGGCAGCTGGGCTGGATGTCCAGGGACGCCATGATTTTGGGTTGCGCCGTGGAGAATCTCCTACGAGTGATGCAACCTACGCTGCTCAACCGCGATGAGGAGGCGGAGGTGCGTGGCACATTGGCCAATTCAGCGGCCCGCCGGAGGCGACGTGCGTGAGCTTCAACTGGTCATCGATGCCAAAACCGGCTACGATGCGCTGATCTTCGAGTACCTCACCACAGATCGGAAGATCATGGTCGATGCGGCGGTGCGGGGAGAGGCCTTGACGGAGGAGGGCGCCAACAACTTCGTGTTTTGGGTGGCTGGACAAGATGAACGATCCTCTCACCAATTCCGAGATGCCATGGTGGAGGGGCAATGGCAGCTCGCAGAAGCTGAGACGGGAGGACGCGCAAAGAAAGCACCCGTAGAATCATTCGTTCAAAAGGGGCGCAGGGCAGAGTAAGCGACCGCCGCAACACGCTCACATCAAGACCGGCCCCATGGAGCACTGCGGCGCAGGGCACTTTTAGCGTAATAGCAAAAAACATTCTGGGGGCTTCCCTTTGTGCCAGCCGCCCTTTCCGCGTTCCTCCCCTTTTTCGGAGAGTGGGAAGGTGGAGTTCTTGGAATCCGGGGGTTTGTGCTGGTGCGTTGTTTGCTTATTTTTGGGGTTTCCGCTTGAGGTATCCCACTGTGAGTCACCTATTAGTGTCTACGAACCTCGTAAGCTTTTCTGCGTTTGAGACGTCCCACAGGCAGCAATTCAAGCAGCGCAAGTGCTCTTCCGTGGCAGGGAGTGGCGCGAGGCATCTTGGAGTTTCAGAAACACTTTGCGGCTAGTTTGCAGGGGTAGAGCTAGAGCAGCTAGGCTTTGCGAAACAGCTGGACGGAGTGAAACAGAGCAATATCGCCGCAACATTCTGAATTCTGCCATCACCGTGAGCGGATTGGAAAGGGTGCTTTTGCTCAGGTTTCTTGCATCTTTGAGGACCTGTGGACAATCACGGTCAAGCTGATGGATGCTGGCGACTCAGTATTTACAGTGCAAGGAATTGCAGCTCCATCATGTTCAACTGCAAAGGACATGGAAGAGCGCATCCAGGCTGTTGCTGGCATCCCAACACATGACAGCCGGCAGTTTGCTGGCCAATAGTGGACATCATTTTTGGAGTAATGCCTTGCTTGGCACGAGATATGAGGTCAAGCCCTTCGTGCGCATGATGCGAAACCTGACACTGAGGTGCTCTTCCCAGCATTCAGCCGTAGACTTGGCAGACACGACTCACTGATCAAGGCTGTGCGATGTGAAGGTTTCTTCGCGAAAGGCCTTGGAAAACTGCAAGAATGCGAGGCAACGCCTGTGCAATGTGGTGCCTCAGGATGTTGAGACTGCTATGAACGAAATCATGCCGCTGCTTCTGCGCTTTTGTGAGCCGCGCCTGCGCCGCTTACTGTACACTCATTTTTTTCGAGTGGCTACAGCTGCGGAATTCGCAGAGTCCAGCCACAGGCGATACAAGCATGCCCAGCCAATATGTTTCGAGATAATGAGGCCAGGGTCGCCAGAGTCGCAGTCGCCAGGGTTGCAGAGTTGCGGAGTTCCAGAATTGCCAGAGTTGCTTGCGTCGGATGCAACAAGATGAATCTTCTGAAGGGACTTGAATCAGACTTTGGCCAGGGAACTCATCAAGGCAAGCCATGGGGCCTTGCTGGAGCCACATGTGCCGGGCCCCAACGGAAGCGTGGAACATGCCGAGCTCTCCAGCCCCAGGCAGAACCTGGTCCCTCCACTCTTGGTGTCACTGTCCATGATGGAGAACGATGCCTTGCAGTGCGGCACCCATCTCCCTTTGACAATGAGTCTACGATTAGTCTTGTTCTCGATCAAACGACTCGATCGAACATGAGGTATTACCAGTTTCACATCAGTGCAAAGTCTGAAGAGAAGGGAAAGGACAGCCTTTGGCCTGGCAATCGCTTCAGTTCACATAGTTCACATAGTTCACATAGTTCACATAGTTCACATGAATTCTGGCACAATGAGAACATATGAGAACATATGAGAACCTATGAGAACGAGAAAAGGGAGCCACATAAAGGTCGGCCTGAGGAGCTGGAAGCTGCACGGATCTCGAACTCCCGCGACAGCGAGTCCATGAAGCTGTCCAGCCCTCGGTTCGGACGAAGAGGGGCCTCACCGATGTCACCGATGCATTGAGGCTCCGACAGCTGGTGCCCTACATCAATCAGGATGTTGCAGAGGCATTGGCTCCCAGGAACGCATGGGGTGCACAAGTTGATGGCTACAGAGTTCCCTTAACAGGACTCGAGAGTTGCTTCATCGTGGTGTTGGCCTGCACCTTAGCCGGCTTTCGAAAAGATTCGACTTTGGCATGCGGGCATCAAATTCATGGTTATCTGCGAATGTTCCCGAAGCCTGGACATTGGATGTCCTGTTTCCTTGCTAATGAACTTGATCTTGAGGGCATGTGGAACGCATGCCAAGCTTGGCAAGATATGCACTGGCAAGACGCAGCTTGCCTGCAGACAGCCTAGGTGCCAACACAAGAGTCGGCGTGTGCGACTTTTGGGTCGCAGTATGTGCTGAGCGCACCAGTGCTGTACTGACAGGTTGGGTCCGCAGATTTTGTCGCAGTTTTCTAGCCACTCATGTTTTGTTTGTATTTCATGCCGTGACGCCTTGAAATGCACATGACAGCAGGCTGCTCGAGCAACCTGCCATGTCGAAGCGTAGGAGCCAATGCTCAATCGAGCTGCAGCAATTGCTACTTTTTCAAGGCTTCAAGTTGGCGTCAAGCCAGAAACCCTAAATTTCAACACAATGCTGCCTATGCTGCCTATGCTGCCTATGCTGCCGCTGCTGCCAATGCTGCCTGCGCGTGCCGCCATGTTGCCAGCTTGGACCAGTACCTCTCCAACCTCGAGCCTTTGTGGTCGTAGCTTCACCTCACATGGGCGTCCGTTTCTGCAGAGTCAGAGACGGAGCGGCGCGCGTGCCAAGAGCTTGAGGCAGCCGAGGCAGTCGAGGCATCAGCGCATTCCCCTCCTCGTCATGCTCGATGCAATGGCATGGTTTTTGGCACGTGTCTTCACCATCCTGATACTCGGCGTGCCATTGCAGTCCATACTGAAACACCCCAAGAGCATGGATGCGCCTTGGATTTGGTCCTTCTGGTTCCGCCTCCCAGTTGTCCTGGGTGTTGGCTATGCAACGTTTCCATGGTGGTGTTCGACGTGTGCTCGCATCTTCCAGCCAACTGATGATGTGTTTGCTGCGGTCTCAACAGTTTTCGCACCGTTGGCAACGCTTCTCTATGCAGCATTGGCCGGTTATGCAGTGGTGTCTTTGTGGAGCCGACTGGAGAAGGTCCGCGCATCTCTGCACAAAGAGTTCGCTCTCCTCGAGCTGCTGGAGACTAGAATTCCTAAGGAGAGCTCAGTCGCTGAATTTCCAGAGATTGCATCAGTGAAGTCAGTGAAACAAAGTCCAATACTTAGTCTCAACCAGAGGACGATGCATCGTTGCAGAAGCTTTTCGACGATCATGTTGCCGGGGTTGAGCAGTACGAGGTTCGCAGGCGCTTGCAAGTGAAGAGAGGAGTACGCACTACACGTTGGCATGATGCCCGCTCAGAAAGTTGCAAATCAGATTATTTGAACATTGAACTAGTTGCATGTTTTTGCATGTGCTTGCATGTGGTTGCATGTGGTTGCATTTGTTTGCATGTGGTTGGTCAGGGGCGTCCCAGCGCCGTCCCGGTTCAACCACTTGGCAGAGTTGGCTGCCGCACCTGCGCTTGTTGGCCCCGCGCAGCACGACATTCGAGCCATCACCCAGGCGTAAGCTCGCTTTTCCACCTCGTCTCTGGTGTTATGACATACGTTGTGTTGGCAAGTTGCCTTGGTCACCTTGGCCCTTTAGGTCTTGTTTCTGTTTCTTTTGTTTCTTCTTTCCTTCAGGATGATTTGCTTTTTTAGGTCTTTCGCCTGGTTGGTTGGGACCAAGGGCCTCCAATTGAAGTCGAGAGTTGCTCGGGTTGGTTTAGGGTGAGTTTTGGGCTGCCTGAAATAAGGGCGGGTCTGGAGTTGGTCTGGGGTTCTTAGGCTCGGCAAAGGTCTGATATCCAGGCTGCTGTTGGGGTTTTGGGTTGACTCTGGGTGGGTTTGGGTGTGTGGATGGCTCAGCAGGATTGCTTTAGGGCCTGATCTTGTGAGCTTTGGGCTGGTTCGGGCGTGGCGCCCCTTCGTTAAAATCTTAGGCACCCTTAAACTCACCTCCTGCCAATCCGAGCAATCCAATCCATAAACGGGAAACCCTAGGTCCAAGTGAGGCTGTAAGAACCAGCCCCGGCAAACAACCAACTTTTACCATCTACCCTTCCGCCTTGCCTTTGTGCTGTTTGTGCTGTTTGTGCTGTTTGTGCTGTTTGTGCTGTTTGTGCTGTTTGTGCTGTTTGTGCTGTTTGTGCTGTTTGTGCGTACTGTTTGTGCTGTTTGTGCTGTTTGTGCTGTTTGTGCTGTTTGTGCTGTTTGTGCTGTTTGTGCTGTTTGTGCTGTTTGTGCTGTTTGTGCCTGTAAGCCGCAAACTGCCTTTTCTTTTCGGACAGGTCCGAGCAGAGCGCCGGGCAGCTGAAGACATTTGCTTCCCAACAGATCCTTGTCAGACACAAGCTGCGAGCATCGGTATAGGAAATAGTTTAAGCGTTGTTTGTTGAGAGTCCTGAGCACGACTGAGGTTGTGTGGGCCAGCCTGCGACTTCTGACCATACTGCTGTTAGCATCGTTTGCCCTTCTGGCTGGTCGATCTGGTGCAGTGGCAGGAGCTTTCAAACAAATATGCCGCAGTCTCCATGGGTTCTGTGCATGCATGTGTGCATGCATGTGTGCATGCATGTGTGCATGCATGTGTGCATGCATGTGTGCATGCATGTGTGATGTGTGCATGCATCATATGCCTAGGACGTGGGACGCGAATCATGTTTTCGCTTCTCGTGGTTGTGCTGTTCTGGGTGAACCATCTATGCCTCTCAGCTCAAATTTACATGACGGCATCTCTCAGCTTCTGGGCGCGCTAGGCCGAGATCTTGTGGACCTTTGTGGAGGCGATTTTCAACTTGATGTCGACGAGCTGAGGCAGGAGTTGCGGAAGGAGCTTGTTGCAGATACCAGTGGAGTATGGCTGCAGGCGAGACGCCGGTTTGTTCCGTCACCGGCGCACTGAGCCAGCTGTTTGAAATGCGGGCTGTGCCTGTCTAAGTGAGCTTAGCCAAAGCATCACGAAGCAACTCTTTTTAAGGAATTCGCCAGAAGGAACGCATGCTGTGTGTCGCGCTTTTGAGCGGAGTGAGAAAAGTAACCTCAGCTTGCAGCTTGACTGTTTCAACCTCTGACTTTCTGCCCAAACTCGATCGAAGGCGGTTCAGTAGCTTCCAGTCCAGATCTGAGCTTGCTTCGATCTTCGGTTTCGACTTGCCACGCCTGGCAAGGCATGCTTCGATCCGTCGCCGGTGCACTTCTGGATCCTTCAAGGGAGGCGTGCCACATGTCTGCTCGTCTTGATTGGCCACTCTCTAGTTGACTCTTCAAGTAGCTCTTCACAGACAGATGCAAGCAACGTGTAAGAGCATTTACGCAGAAGGTCAGAGGAGCTGCCGCGTCGTGCTTTGCCAGCTTTGCGCGACGGAATGCGCCGCAAGAGCTGACCAAGGCGGGTTTCTGTCATGCAATTGGATGCAGGTCAAACGTCTTGCATACTAGAAATCGCGTCATGAAAGAGGCTTGGAATTTGGAGGGCATGCTGACGCAAAACAAGCAAAGTAGAATCTTCAAGGTAGTGTGAGCAAGAGGGGAACATGCAAAGGACAACCCGGCAAGACACACTGACAGCACAAGAGCCAGGCTGCTAGAAGGTTTGTAGCCACAAGACCTTGCTGGTGTTTTGTTTGTGTGCCTGCTCGTATTGCAGCATGGCGGGTTTTTGAGGGTTTGCGCACTGATCTTGATCAGGTTGTGCTGCGCTGAAATGCAACATTTGTAGCTACAACCAATCCGGTTGGGCCAGGTGTCTTAGGCCACGGTAGTCTTTTGGTTGACCTATTGTGATTGCTTTTCATGTATCCAGAACCAGCGTGAGGGATGAGCTTCGCAGGGGAAGGCTTGAAAGGCAGCAAATTAGCAGGACATCTTGCACTGTGAACCAACACTTTGGGAAGGAGGCGCAGGCTGGATTGCTTGACTAGGCTGCCCAGTCGCAACCTTGACAACGAGTGAGTATGACTTTGGCAACTCAGAGGCACATTTTATGGCCAAACATGACGCGTAACATGGTGTAAGGAGCAGGTGACGCATATTTGTCAGTCTTTGCAACAATAGGTTGGCTGTTGAGTGAGGTCGAATGTGGAAGCATGACCGCATTTGCGGAAGGGTGACGGTGCACTATCAACATATTGAGTGGCAGCTAAGCTGATTTCGCCCCATTCGGCTTTCCCTTCAACCCAGCTTGGGATTGCGGCTTCTTGCACTTAAAGGGTTATGGCTTGTGGCATGTGGTGCTGACTGTGAGTGATTGAAGGTCATTTTCGAACGGTTGCTGAAGCAAGACCAGGACGGCACCGCCCCGAAAGCTTTCAGTCTATCAGAGCTTCACAGCAACGCAGGAGTACCGAACCGATGATGTGCAGCGCAATTCGTACAGAGTGTCGCTGGCTCGGGCGCTGTGGGAGGCCGGATGCGAAGTTGGTTGGCGCTTGTGCCCCTGCACCCCCTGCCGCCCGGCTGCCCCCCAATGCCCTGCTGCTGCGCCGTGCCTTTGCTGCCCCTTGCTGCGCCTGCTGCCCCTGCCCATGCCGCCTGTGCATGATGCTTGCCAACAATGCTGGCATGCGTGGAAACCTAGGAAGGTGTTGCCTGATGCTTGTTTGCTGCAAGCACTGTGTGGATAGGGTTTGCAATCTTCACGCTCATGAAATTACAACTGGCTTGGTGGAGGAGGTGTGGCAGACATGTTCGCTCTTTGCTGGGCTGACTGTTCTGGCTGGCTCAGACACTGTGCTCGGAGCTTGCGTGAGCGTGGTTGGATCGATTAGCGATCTGCATTGCGCAAAGCGAACCGTATTGGCCTCAAGTCTGCTTGCACTGATAGTCAACCAAGTCTGGGTCAGCGCAGCGGCCTTGGCCTTTCTTGTCGGCACTTAGACGCGACTTGACCACCCGCTCTCCGGCTACGCGCCTGTAGATAATGGGTGAATGGTGACACTCCCGCTTCCGTGTCGTCCTCTTGAGCCTGATGCAGGAAATCAGTCAAGGGAGGGAAGTATCTAAGGGCCGTCGAAGGGCAAGAAAGATTACAAGCGCCGCCGAAGAATAGTGGTCTCACTCTAGCTCAGCGCCCAACGCAAACGAAGCAAGCGCCGAACCCTTCGTCGGTGACGCCCGTGAAAAGGCGCTTCAGTGACTTGGAAGGGAGATCACCCTTTTCGGAAAAAAAAAAAAAAACACGGCAAACTCCAAGATACGGGTCGCGTCAACGGTGGGCCTTTTGGGTCGCAACCATAAGTGTCGGCGTACATGGTTGAGGGGTCTTTTGATGTCGCTTGGACAACGTGGCAAACAAGGTCCCAGAAACACAAGGCATGCCAAGTTGCAAGACAGGAAGCGCAAACCAACTACCAAGCGACAAACGACACATGTGCAATCAGGCACAATGAGCGGCAGCGCCAAAAGAGGAGCACACGCGCACGAATTGAACCTCTTCTACATGAACGCGAGGACCTCGTTCATTTTTGGCACATACTGGCCAAGAAAAAGACAAACTGTGTCACAGCAACGTTCCCACTTAGTTGGGCACACGCGTCCGCCACGCAGACCCCGAAAACCAGAAGCCCACGAGGGCCAAAATTTAGGCTTGGCTCTCCTTGAGCTTTTTAACTTCGCAGAGCAGACAAGTCCTCGTCCAGCAACCCTGCAGTGCCAGCGCCATGATCAGAAGAGTGGTGGAACACCCCAACCAAGTGAAGTTGACGGCTGGTACTTCCGGACAGTCGAAAGGGCTGCCGCAACCGACCATTGCTGAAGCAAAGGGGAGCGTCAGCACAAAACTGTGCAATCGCCGGCGCCAGATTCCCTCATGTGTATGTGACGTGCGTGGAGACCAAGAAGATTGTGCTTGATGCTTGTCAGCTGCAAGCGCTGTGCAGCTGCAAGTTGGAAATGCCCACCTGCCTGCCTTCTGGATCAGACCCATGTGCCCTGCCGCCTGCGCCGCCCCTGCCGCCCTTGCTGCCCCTGTTCCCCCCCCCACCCCCTGCTGCTCCAGTCCTGCCCCAGGTGTGCCGCCGATGCGATGACAACATGCTCGAGCCTGAGCTCAAGGCAGCCGTTGCCTCCAAGGCGGTTGCGCGTAAACTTTCCAAACGCAACGAATGGGGCTGGGTGGATCCCTGATTGCAGGCGTTTTCGTTGCGCTGGAGCATCGAGGCTGAAGTGAAGACAGGCCGGCTACACGGCACAGATGTTCCCATGAGTTCGCCCATAAGCAGCGAGAGGCTGGGAGTCTCTTTGGTCTGAGTTGGCTTCTCAGCTTACAAAGTTGATCGCTTGGTTGCTCGACATGCAAGCACCCGTGATATCCTCGTGTGCAATTTGTTGTTCAAGCGTAACCCGTGCTCGAACCTGCCTGTCCTGGGGGGGCATGTTTGGTGACTCGGCTTGCATTCAGCACCACCACGGTGTCGGTTCTGAGCGGTTTCAGAGCTGGGGATGTTTGGGCTAATTTGCATCCAGCGCAACCTTTCGCACTGTTTGACGTCTATAGTGGGTCATCTAGCCATGAATACTGTACGTACTCGGTCTTCCTGCGAGCCAGATGTTTGAGGCACGGGTGGCATTTGGAGACATATACGGCGTGTTTTATTCTCCCTGTCTCCCACACTCTCTCTCTCTCTCTCTCACTCTATCGTTCTATTGCTGGCTCTGTTTTTCCTTGCTTCTTTGTGACTTTGCTGGGCTAGCAAGGACTGGACAAAGGCACCAAGCTGACGGACCGCCAAAGGATCAACTTCAGAACGTCCTTTGTCCCTTGCTACAGCTTTTTGCCACTGCCACCTTGCTGTTTGGCCGGGACAAGTGGCTGTCCCGCTCCTGTATCTTCTGGTGCAGGTGGCTGCCATTCTCCTCGCTCTCTTTGTTGTCTTTGAACGACCCCTTCAATCTTTCATAGCGACAAAGAATGCGTGGCCACCACGTCACCACGGCAAGACTCAATACCTCCCCATCCTTACGCAACCTTTGTAAGACGTTCCTAGCCTCTTTCAGTGAGATGCGCTCTGTTGGTCCCGTTTTGCAGGGCTCTCCCACTCACGCCGGAGCGGGGAGAAGCATTCTAGCGCAGCCACAGTGGTTCAGCTTGCGAATCGGGACGGGGCTACACATTTTGTGAATGCGTGTGCAAGCTGCGACCAGCTCAGCACTTGGAGCCGCAGTTGAGTTCGATTGAGCCCCAGCGCTTCGCGCTACCACAACCTGCCTCGAGCTTTGCCGCGCACAGACACGCACACACACACACACGCGCACACACACACACACACACCCACACCCACACCCACACCCACACCCACACCCACACGCACACGCACACGCACACGCACACGCACACGCACACGCACACACACACACACACGCACACGCACACGCACACGCGCACGCGCACGCGCACGCGCACGCGCACGCGCACGCCCACGCCCACGCGCACGCGCACGCACACGCACACGCACACGCACACGCACACCCACACCCACACCCACACCCACACCCACACCCACACCCACACACACACGCACACACACACACATTCAGTTTCAAGATTCGTGCTCGTTCGGCTTAGCACGACGCACACTCAGACACATTCAGCAAAGGCACTGTTGTTTTGTGAAGAGAACGCGTTGATGCAGTTCACACAGAGCGCTGCGGAAGTTAGGACTGACAGAATGCTGACAAATTCCCTCAGTGATTTGGACAGCTTCGTGCTTTGCGAACTTAGACTGCATTGCAGATGAGATGTGCGTGATGTGCATGGAATTTCTGACGTTGCTGCAAGCAGCTTTGAATAGAAGTGTTTGAGTTCCTTGAATGTTATGATGCTTTCCTTTGGAGATTTCAAGGATGACTGCGCGCCAGCGTTCCGTATACGATGCTTGGCTAATCATCAAGCGCGTGGTTTTGCTGGTGTTGCATATTGCTCACCAGGCTACACTAGCAGCGGCTTCGAGGACAGCTTAGGACACAGCCAACATTGCAGAGAATTGACAAGATTGGTGGCAGGAATTCCATGGCTGCAGTTTCGACTGCATTGGCCAGAGGCAGAACCTGTGAAGCTTTTGATGCAACGTAGTGATATCTCAGCAGCGTGATGCTTGGACAAGTTGTGCAACATGAGAGGTGTGAAGATGTAATCGGTGTGGGCAACGACACAGATCCAGCCTTGGCTGAGGCTGCTTGCCGGTTGAGAGGCCATGTCTTCCATACAGATTGTTGTATTTATTTGGCAGGTTGCATTGGCAGCTGGACTCTCAGGCCTGCCCTGTCAAATCAGAACCTTGATAGTACCAGTAGGCCACAAGCAGCACCCTTCAGAACTTCAATGCTCAGAATGGCAGTAGTCTAACGTTTGCAATGCATAATTCGCTCCAGTTGAGCAGGATCGGACACTTCAAGGAGCTTGCAGCTCTTGAATTCAATGCTGCAACAGCGACTGGAGGCGCGTGTGAGCGCAAAGCAGAGTAAGATAGAGTAAGCAAAACGCCTGCGACATCCGACGCCATGAAGGCTTCGGATCGGGATGCTTTGGACCCCATTTTGTCAGTTGGCCACAGGCGGGGTGTGCTGTTGAGGCGCTTGATGCTTCAGCTTTCAGGAAGTCAGGCCTTTTTGTGGCCGCCATCTCAATTGTGCACTGCGTCCATCCCAGCTTGGACTGGACATACAAGGCCCGTGATTTGATTTGAGATGTTTACATTTCCGATTTCTGGTTCACTTGCATGGGTTGCAGGCCTGCCTGCAAGAAGAGGCTCAGCAAGTGTCCTTGATTGCGCTTCTTCAAGCTGCAACCAAAGTCAAAGCCTGAGTCTCCACAGCCAGACTCTGCACCGCACAGTCAACATGCGCAACGTGTATCTTGCAGAGCTTCAAATGCTGGAAGATGCTGGAAGTACGCCTGTTTAAGGGTGCGCAGGAGGTTGAGCTCCTCCTATCACGCCTTGGGTGCGCTAAGCTGACTCATGCTGCTTCTTGCTTTCTTCCTCATATGCTGCATCATTTTCGCATGCATGGTGTGCTATGTGATTGCCATCAGTTCCACTGTGTCTTGTATTGTTTATGTATTGACACATTTGGCATGCTCGCCTTTCCGTACAGGCCAGCTTCCAATGCCTTGGCCGACCCCAAGTCGGGCTCGTGGAGTGCGCGTTCATTCCTTTTTCACATTTCTTGATTTCTTTCTTGATCATTTCATTTCTTTTCATTTATTTTCTTTTCTTTTCTTTATCGATCATTCTGAACCCTCCATTCTTTGGTCCATGCTCACTAGGTCCTTGGCATTCCTGCACAGTGCTGCTAGTACCATGCTGTGGCCTTAGCTTCGCATAATGAAATTGATGGGAAAGGACTTGATAGGGCTAAACAACATGAGAAGTTTGCATCACGTTTCTATCCTAAGAGGTGGAGACGGAGTCTCACCGATGCAACGCTTGACATGGGCCTGAAGAAGCCAAGGTTGGGCTCGAGTCGTTGTGTTTGCGCTTGGAGCAGGTAGTGAGCGATTTTATGCAGGCCCCTGCATCGGAATTTGGGTTTCACGCGTTTTTTTGACACCTGGCCAGTGAGAAGCTCTATAGGCGTTGCTGGCTTTGCAACACACGTACAGCCGCCTGTCCTTGTGGTCCTGTTTTGAGTTGTTGAATGCATTGAAATGTTTGCCGGCATGTGAACGCATTCGGATTCGCTTGCCTAGCTTCACACACACACCCATCCCTTCAGATCGAGCTTGTGTCACTTTGACGCCGTGTCGCTGCCGTGCTGCGGTTTGCGTCATTTTGCAATTGCGCTTTGAGACGGTAACACCTTTTGCTTGGGTCCTTCTGCAATTCAATCTAGAAGAATAGCGGTCACCTTTGGATTTGAGTTCCGGCGTTCGAGTCCGTGACCTGGCGCGTATGTGCGTTTGGCGCCGATTCACTCTGCCGATATAGCATGAAACCAGTTGAGAGCTTGTGGCCAGGCTTAAAGATGACAAGTTTGTCGCGCCCCCAGACTGTTCCTCGAAGCTGGTTGCAAGGTGTCGCAGGTTTGATACCCACGCATTGTCTATAGATCGTGTTCAAGGTTTCATCACGTGATACATGTGTCATGAGCAAAACATATGGAGCTTGCAAGTGAGGCTTGATCCCTTGCATACTGCTGGACTAAGGATGGTCAATCCTTGGCCAGCATGAGCACTGCGTGCTCACTCTCACAGGCTTGCCCTCCCTTGACCTGAAGCCTGACAGGGACAAGATTGACTTTTGACAGGTCAGTGTCAGGAAGCGAGAGATGCGACAGGCACGGGGGAGAGGCGGTGTGTTCGTCTACAGTCATTTGCCAGGCACCAGCTCATCATTTGGGCGCTTTGGTTACTACCAAGGCGCTATCAATGCGAGCGGCTGCCAGTGCATTCTGAGATGTCGTTAAGCCCACACCGGGCCATGCTTCCGCCATGCACACAGGCCGTGGAGTCTTTTCAGAGTTCAGGTGTAGCTTGGATCTCAGTTTGGAGTTGGCGGCCACTTCACAATTGATCACGAATTCTCCGCCTTTTGTATGCTGGATGTAGCACTTGTCGCAGAGCACAGGTATGGAGCAAAGAGCTTGTGGATTTATCATTTCCCTTTGCTCGGGCCTCGGTACTTTAGTGCTGATGCTACTTAAGTAGATGAGGCAGCTCGGACACGTGCAACATGCGCCATTGTCCACGCTCAGAGGTGATCGCAGACCCTTCCTGCCCAAAATGCCCAGTGGTCCTCTGCAGCCAAGGAGGGCATTGAGTCAGAGGTTATTTCTTTGAAGCTTTGTCCATGTCATCTTCTGCAGGGAGCATGATGTGTCCGACAGAGCAATCATCTCCACTGCCAGGCTTCAGCAGTTTGTCGGCCAGGCCGCCTGCCGAGGCTGATATTTCCCAAGTGGAGCAATCCACTTTGCCTTCGAAGTGCAGCAATCCAATGCGCTTGACGATTTGTGAAGGTCGTGGGGACTGATCTGATACAACTCGGAGGGGCCGGCCATGTGGGCCTGGAGGCGACATGTAGCCGCACGTCAAGTCGCACTCCGAGCTGCCCAGGCAGCCAACACCGTTGAGACACTGATCCAGTCGTCCAGAGATGGCCAGTTTTTGCCCGAAGGTTGGTGCCTCAACTTGATTGCCACTATTAAAATTGTGGGCAATTGTAAGATCACGCATACTCAAGGGCTGCGCCCACACCAGCTGCTCTGGCTGCTTTCAAGATATCATAGAATTCCTAGAGTCGTCCGCAAAAGTCTGTATCCCCAAGTCTCCTTCTCAAAGTCACTCGGATGAAAGCTGCGGAGTGAGCATTGTGCTCTTTTACCGCATAGTGATTCGCCATAACAGGCTTGAGTAGGGCCCTTAAGCTAGTGACTGGCGGAGCTTCGTGCAGAAACTCCTTGAGAACGTCCTCCGTGAGAACTGCCTTTTCATCAAACGCAGCATTTCCCTCAAACCATCCTGCCGAATAATCGGCGGGGCGTGCACAGCAGAGAGCGCTTAAGGATACCCCCGGCTCTCAGGACGGCAGAGGTAGCAGCAGCATGCAGCAGCTAGGTGAAAAGGACCTTCTGCTTGCGATCGATTGTCTGGATTCCTTCACTAACACATGCATGAGTACACGTAGGTGACGATGCCGAGTTCGACAAGTTCAGTCTACCATCGCGAAAGCTGCATTTGGTTTGCGGTTTGTTTAAGCGTCGATGCTGGTGGCGACAGCCCAGTTTAACTTGACAAACGTATCTAATTGATCAGCTGAAAGCAGTTTTTCGTAGCAGCGGTGCTGGTGCGTGCGGCGTCGACCGGACAAACGCGACAACCCGCGACATAGCCAAACAGCTACATTGAGTCAACGGAAAAGATAAAGCCGTGGTGATGCTGGTGGTGCCGACTAAGCGGACCAGTGCGGTCTTTCCGCATGCTAGAGTTTATTGCGGCTGACATCTTAGTTGCTCAAATTGTCGGCGCGCGAAAAAGGACACTGGTTTTAGCGGGATTGTTTCCTTGACTTTTTACGGTGGAGACGGGGCAGGACAGTTCTCTTTCGCGCACACGGCCAGGGTAAGTTGGAACAGACTGCTTGTGCCCACAGGGGGGTTCGATCGCGTTCAGAGTTGTCCACCCCCAATGTCACTCCCTTGCTTGGGCGCAGAATCTTTCAGCGCCACTGAGCTCTGATTGAACTCGCCCTGAGGGCTGCGGGTCTGTGAAAGTACAGGGTTTGTGCTCCTCGCAAATCAAAAGGTGCTGGCATACTGGGCGCAGGCGGTTTGAACGCCATTGCTTGTACCAACCTCCACCTCATACTTTCCCCAACCCAGTCGGATGGCAAACGTGTTTGTTCATGATCTCTCTTGGTTTGCAAGTCTTCAAGTCTTGGATCGCATTCTAAGCTCCAGCACCGCTGCCCGGCATTCACAGAGTGATCACCTCCAGGGCTGCCACAGGGCATCAGCTCTGGCAAGCCCACAACAGTGCACCTGCTGTGATTGCATTGCAATTGTACACAACGCAGAACGTACAACGTGTCTTTCTTTTTGCAGCATTCAGAGCTGATGCCATCACTGAGGTTCAGTTTGCTTGAATAGCTGCGACAGGACAGCTGCTTACATTCTGCTAATCTATGCATATGTATCCTGTGCTGGCTACTGTCAGGATGAGTGCAGGCGAAGTTCTCTTCTCCATCACCGGGGGGATGGCATTGCTCCCAGCTAGCTCAATCTGAGAATCATTTGGACTGGAACACACGAACTTGTTGCAGAGTATGCAAGGTCATTCTCAAGCAGGTTTTGCTTGATGACGATATGTTTATCATTGGAGTGCTGGACAAGAAATCTGAGCCGGACCTGTGTGAAGGGTGTCGGAGCATGATTCGCATGGAGCATAGATGTTGCTGGAGAGTGCCTTTCCACTTTGGTTTTTTAAAAGGCTCTCGGATTAGTGCAGGACTGTGATATGTCTCGACAACTTTCCACATGGCTGGATGCTGCTGCCAAGCACTTAGCGGAGTCAGCAGAGGCTCGGCATACAGCCGCATAAGTGAAATCGAGTCCTGCTCAGGTCACTGTGCTAGCAGCAGAATACTTCTACTCTGCTCCTTTGCGCCGGCAGGCGTGAAAATTCATGTGTCTCGACCTTGCAAATTGCAGCTTCCCCAACTTCTTTGATCTTGTTTGATTGCCAGTCTTAGCGTTTTTTTGGTATCATGGCAATGTAGAGAGGTCAAGATTTCGAGATGTCAAAACAGATGGCCGCAGGTAGCAGATGGCATTGACTATCCTGATATGACACAACGCTGAGTTCTCACTGGTTTCAGCCTTTCAAGTTGCCGTGGCATCCGCGGGACACCTCCGACATTTCTAAAGGAAGCTCCATGCTCTCACAAGGCCTGGAGTGGTTCCGCTACTGTTCACTGGCTGTTTCAATGTGAGCGTGCACTGTATCCACAAGGCCAGAAGGCACAGCCCAGGCCACGACATGACCGAATTAAGCGAGGAGCAAGGCAGCTTTGCACAGGTCAATCGGTCATATCGGTCGTCTATTTCGGCTCACAAAGGGCTTTGCCAGGGCATGCTTCTCATGCACTTCCATTGTTGCCATTGTTGCTATTGTTGCCATGTGTGCAACTGTTGCCATATTTGCCATAAATTTGCCTTTGTATGATATCGTTGCTTTTCATAGCACAAGCCCAGGGCCATGCACAGCTCACGGGGCACTCAGTTCCCAGCCCCGACTGACGTCCCAACTTCCTGAAACGTCTGATGTCACAAAGTCTGATGTGGCAAGCAGAGCAACACAACGTGTTGCAGGCACTCCCACTTGCATCCCACTTTCGCTCGCATTGAGTAGTTGGAAGTCTTGCGAAAGATTGGGAAGTGGAAGTGTGTGGGCATGCTAAACACTTGCCACGTTGATCCTTTGGCCGAGGCTGAAGCTGTTGACGCAAATCGCTTTGACTTTGGTGGTCCATCAAGATCATTTGGCGCTTCACGCAATTGCTGGTTCGTGTTGTATTGACCTTCAGCCACGGGCTTTGTTTCATGTTCCGGCGGATTTTCTGTGGATTCCAGCGGGCGCAGGGTGCCAAAAAGCGCACGTGCATTCTCACACAATCAAAATAGCGCATACAGCACATACAGCACATACAGCACATTGCAAGGCTTTGTCCTACCACTTCTGGCGGAGTTCAGCGCTATCGCGAAGAGATTTGCACGGAGCTGGCAACTTTTTTTGCGGACAGTGCCTGTGCCTGAGATATGATCTGAGCAGCGGAGAAGCATACGAGCTGAGGTCTCTCGCGCAGACAAGGCGAAGGTTTTGGCGTGTATATGAATTGCATCGGATGGTGTTGGTTTGGTTTAGGATTACGGTTTTGGCCATGCAGGTCAGTGCTGCGAAAGCAGTTTCAGGGCTTGCTGCGCAACTTGAGAAGGCCAGATTGCTCGACATGTCAGACTGCTGGGAGCCAGCGGCTTTGTTCCGTTTGTCCGTCCTTTCAGTGGCTGTTTTTTTTCGTGATGTTTGAGCTTGAACTCTTGAACTCTTGAACTCAACGTCCTGACTCAAAGCAAATATGGCACCGCAAGATCAGAAACGATAATGCCCACAGTGCGGCACTTTTGCTGCACCTTTTTGCGAAGGTCGATCCGAGACCCTGCTTCACCGAGGACAGCCATGTAAAGTCGATGTCGACCTGAAGCTTGCATGAGTTTGTCAGGATACCGCGATTCAATCCTTGCTGGCTAGTGTGAAGGCGGACATCGACTATCAGATGAACAGCGTTCTAAATTCCCTTCAAGCGAACATAGTATGAGGAGAAATCGTTTCGAACACGTATTTTCCCTAGGTCGGGGAAGGCTGCGAAAGGCTTCGCCAGAAACACGCATTGAACATTTATACTTTTCCGGGCTCGCTGAGTTCGCATTGGCGAACAGGGTAAGCGCTGTGTCGGCATTTGCTACACCGACACTCGCGTAAGCTACCCTGCAGCCGCGGAAGCCCCTCGTTGGCCTTCGCGAAAGGAACTGGTTAGTGTCTTGCGCTCGCACAACAATTTCGAGCGCTCAGATGTCAAATTTGATGTGCTGATGAACTGAACAATTTTGTGTGCAGATTGTGCAGGCTGCCGTCCAGACTTTGCCAATCTTCGATGGCTCTGGCAGTCTGGCTGGGAGCTGAGCAGCTGAGTCGAGCAAGGTTTGCGTGCTGCAAGACCGTTAAGTTAGGTTCGCGCCCTTGCAGACCTTGCTGCGGTCAGTTATCGACGAAAGAGGGGTGAGGCACTCTCGTGCCTGAGTGCCTCAAAAACGCCATGCAGTGCAGCTGCAGTGGCCATTTGCCATCCGCCATTTGCCTCCAGGAGCTTGGAGTAAGAGTGGACGAGCAAGAGAGTGGGCTCTCATTGATCCTGAGTTTCTGCTCTAAAGGCCGAACATGTAGTTACTCAGTTCCTCATGTGTATTACATTCGCAGCATTCGCACATGCCACAAGTTCATTCCTGTGTGCCAGGTTCGCTTGTGGACCGTAGCATCCTGAGTGCATTCTCTTGTATCGCTCCAAGGGATGTCTTGTTGCCTTTCGTGTTGATTGCAGAGGTGCTGCTGCTGCCCAAGCTTACCTTGAGGCAGGAGCAAAGATTCATTGCTTCTTCTCAACCTTGGGTTATCTTGGGTTTTCTCGGAGCCCCATTCCTGACAGGCAACAACTGCGACCAGGTTATGGCCATCTTTGCAAGACGCAGAACGCCTCTACAATGAGGACACGTCTCACGATTGGGTTCTGCTTTCACCGCGAGTCTAGGCAGCTGATCACGTGGATCACCTGCAAAAAGAAGACGAAGCAAAGGAGCGGGCATCGCCCTCAGTGTAAGCGGAACGAGCGCCTTGCAGTACATTTGGAGAGAGCTTGGCTGAGGCTCCTGGGCAGCCGCTGCCCAAAAATCACAGGGGGAAGGCACGGGCTTAGTTGAAAAGGAAGGTGGCAACCTCTGGAATAAAAAAGGAGGACTCACTCATTCAGAATTCTGCATTTGCGTGTTTGTGTGTGTTTGAATTCCTGGCTCTTGCGCATAATTTGGAAGTGCTTGGGGCCGGCCCTGTGTGCAGAATCAGCTGCAGCTGTCTTACTTGATAAACAGTTGCTGCAGCCGAGCGCTGAAAAAGGCGCATACCCTTGCTTCTCGCTCCTCCCAAAACTTCGCTCATGGCAAGCCTCTTGGAGGTCTCAAGTTTATGGTCCCGCGAAAAGCCTCTCCGAAGGCGAGCAGAACCTGGGAAGGAAAAGAAAGTCAAGAAAGATCACTCGAGCGACTGTAACGATGATTCTTGCTTTCGTCTACGCTTCTCAGAAGACCAAAAGAAAGCCCCATCCATGATGAAACGTGGCCAATGGAAGTTGACTATGGACAAGTCAGACTCCGAGACGGAACGCGGACGAGGAAAGGCGCCAAGATCACCAAGCCCAACGCAGTGGGCGACGCAGACTGTTCTGATGAATGCCAAAAGCCCGCTTCATTCTGTAGACAGATGAAGACAGGAACCTCAGGCCTACATCCTGTGAAGGGACTCACTGGCCAAGCCCTTTGCGTGGCACGGGGACAAGCTTGCCGGCCCCTCACGCTCAGCAGGCGACTCAGCAAGCACCTCTCGGGGCAGCTCCGAGCTCAGGCCCAGCACAGTCCCGCACCCGTCTGGGCTTGTAGCCTTAGGCCGAAAAGCCGCTCGCCCCCACGCAGGGCTACAAGCGAGAGCGTGAGCCGGAACTCAATCCAAGCCATCTGACCCAAGACTCAAGAACGTCCCACAACACGAGAGAGGGGACTCCAACGCTTGAACAATACTGGAAGCCAACCGCGCACAGAACGCACGGTGATTTCATCTCACAGAAAGAGTCGTACACTGAGATCATTAAAAAGCTCCACACTACTTCTTTCATGGACGTGCGCGTCACATCTCGCTTTCCGGCCGCACCCGAGAAGTTATCGCGCAAGGCCAGCCATACCGCTGGCGCGCATGGCTAAAGACCTGCCTATGTTTGATCCCAAGAACAATATGTTTCTTTCTGGGCCTGCGGCCTCTAGCCGGCTACGCCTCTTTGAAGTTATACCATGTCATGCCATGTTTTTTGTATGAGAAACGTATCCTGTGCTATGTGGTTAGGTTATGCATGTTGTCCACCCCAACCCCAGATAATGCCGGGGATGCGGGCTTTCTGGGCCCCAGCCGGGCCCCAACCCAGAAGGCTGACATGGGGTCGCGCGCGCGCGCGCCAGAGGCCCCAGAAAGAGCAGCCCAAAAAGAACAGCCCGCAAGCCAGCCCGGAAACACACATGCAACAAAACGCCGTAAATAGCAGCGTTTTGTGGCTGGGGTCGCGCGCGCGCGCCAGAAGGCCCGAAAACCAACGGGAAAAAAGCAAGGACCGCGCAGCGCGCGAGCCAGCCACAGCAAAAGCAAAACGGACAGAACAACGGCCCACCGCTCCGCGCAGCAGTTGTTGACGGTATTTACAGCGTTTTGTAGAGCGAGGACCCAGCATCGCCGGCATGCCCGGCAGCGCTTGGCGCCAAAATGCGCAAAAATGAATGAGCCTTGCTTATATCTCTCCGACACCTTCTAAAAACAGTGCTTCATGGGTCGAGAGGCTTTTTGGAAGGAAGTCTTGATGATGCAGACCAAACCCCGCTGAAGCATCGCCCAGGCCCAACCGCGGACCCTGATGATGTCAGCCGCATGGCCCGCATCAGGGTGCAGCCCCTATAGCTAAAGCTAGCAGGCTAATTGCCTAGCGGCGACATGCTACCCCAGGAGGCGTAAGGGCTGCCGCCCGGTGCCGCCGCCCCCGCGGGGTCACTGTCCTGTATGTTGGCGATGGCTTGTCCGCGTGCTTTCTTGCTTGCGCGTCCACAGCCGCCGGGCAAAGCGCACGGTGGAGGAGGACACAGAAATCGAGAGCGCGGCGTCGTACTTCAGGCGCGCGAAGGGAGTGTTGTTCTGAGGTTGTGTTGGCTTTGGCTTGCTAGAAGAGGGGAGGACAGAAGAGACAGTTTCATGCCCTGAGCACGCGATCCGAGGGGATTGACCCGAGGATTTATCATGGCCGCTGCGCAGATTGATCCGCGCACGCGTGTGACCGTCTCTAATGTTCTCCTCTGTTCTGGCAGGGGGGCGGGTTGATGGGGGGTGATGATGGCGTTGGTTTCGTTGATGCGGAGACGCGGGATTCCTGTGTCTGTGATGTCGTTTTTCGGTGCTTCCGGGCACGACCCCTCCTGCCCTGGCACGACCCCTGCCTGCCTGCCCCTACCTGCCTGCCCGTTTGTTAGCTTGCCTTCCTGTGTGACTGCTTGCCTTTTTTCTGTCCTGCCTATGTGCCTGTGCGCCCGCTGTTTGGATTGCTTGCCTGGTGCTTGCCTTCTTGTGGTCTACGTCTGTATGTATATGCATATGTACATGTATATGTTTATGTGCATGTTTTGTGACATGGGGCGCAGCTCGAAATTTTCATGCTGGTGTATGTATGTATGTAATGTAACGCAATGCAATGCAACGCAACGTAATGTAATGTAGTGTAGTGTAGTGTAGTGTGTAGTGTAGTGTAGTGTAACGTATGCATGTTGTAATGTATGTAACGGAGTGTGTGTATGTATGTATGTATGCATGTATGCATGTATGCATGTATGCATGTATGCATGTATGCATGCATGCATGCATGTATGCATGTATGCATGTAATATGTATGTATGTGTGTAGGTATGTATGTATGTATGTATGCATGTAAAGTATGTATGCATGTTGTATGTATGTATGTATGCACGTATGCATGCATGTATGCATGTATGCATGGAGGCATATGTATGTATGTGTGTAATGTATGTATGTCTGCATGCAAGTATGTACGTATGTATGTATGTAAGAAAGTAAGTAATGCAATGTAGTGTATGTAATGTATGTAATGTATGTAATGTATGTAATGTACGTAATGTATGTAATGTATGTAGTGTATGTTTGTATGCATGTATGTATGCATGTATGTATGCATGTATGTATGTAATGTATGTATGTATGTAATGTATGTAATGTATGTAATGTATGTATGTATGTATGTAATGTATTTATGTATTAATGTATGTATGTGTTTATGTATGTAATGTATTTATGTATTAATGTATGTATGTGTGTATGTATGTAATGCATGTATGTATTTTATGTTTGTATGTATGCATGCGTTCATGTATGTATGCATGCATGCAATGTATGTATGTATGTATGTATGTATGTATGTATGTATGTGTTTATGTATGTAATGTATTTATGTATTAATGTATGTATGTGTGTATGTATGTAATGTATGTATGTATTTTATGTATGTATGTATGCATGCGTTCATGTATGTATGCATGCATGCAATGTATGTATGTATGTATGTATGTGTGTATGTAGGCATGTACGATTTTCCTTTCACTGACTCTTTAGTGTGACCTTATCGCGACCAGCCCAGCCCTCAGTGCATCTCGCGACCTGTGTTAGGAGAACGGCAGCATGCTTTTCGCACGCGACGAGTATACGTTTTTGACACATATGAGATAACACAACATGTTGGTGCCTGCATTGCAAAAATGTATTGCCGGCGCGGGGTTTATAAGCTTTGCTCTGTTCTCTATAAAACGAAACCGTGAAATTTGCTCGTCGCACTTGCGCGCGTTTTCCCGGACCGCTTTTCCGAAAAATCCCGGATATTTCGGAAAATTGGTCCGGGCTGCCCCTGGAAGATGCAACCGCTTCATATTTCCTATGCACCGCTTACCCAAATCTGTCCGGGCTACCCCGGCCATAATCCGAAAGATGCAATGGCTTCATTTTTTATAGGGACCAATTTCCCGAAATATCCAAATATTTCGGGAACCCTTTCGGGAAATGCTGTCGTCGAAATATCCGGAATCTTTCGGAAAAATGGTCTGGAGTGCAATTCTCGAAATATCCGGGATATTTCGGAAAAATGGTCCGGGCTTTGAACGAAGCCGTTGTGTCATCGCAATTCAGGTACCAACATATTTTATTATCTCATATGTGTCAGACAATGTATACTAGTCGCATGCGAAAAGCATGCTGCCGTTCTCCAAACACAGGTCGCGAGATGCACTGAGGGCCGGGCTGGTCGCGATAAGGTCACGCTAATGAGTCAGTGAAAGGCGGTCGCCTGAGCAAGGTGAGAACGGATCCGCGCGCTATTGGCCTTAAAGATCCATCTACACACACAGTTGTTGCAAGCGCAAGCGAAGACGCGATCGACCAGAAAACATCCTGGGTGCAAGCAAAGCCGAAGGCCGCGGCTCACAGCTTCTCACATCGCCAACTCTTGGAAGATGGGCCAAGATCTCAGCCAAAATTGCTACGGACAGGCAGATGTATGCCCCGACTCTTTATTTAAAAAAATGTCTTGCCGGCGCGGGCTCTATAAGATTTGCTCTGTTCTTGGCACGCCCGCCACGGCCTGGACCTTGGCCCCTAAGAGCTCGGCCCTTTTTCAGCACCCACCTCAACTTACCCCTAATTGCTGGTTTGGATTGGTGGTTTGGGGATTGAAACCCTGGATCATCTTGAAGTTGAATGGGAAACCACCCTACTAATCCAAACCGGGCCGGTAGCAACCCGGCGTGCCCAGTCCAAAGAGGGCCGCCCCTGCAACCACCTCCTGGCCACGGGTGACAAACCGTTTCCCACTGGCTCGCTCCATTGGGCGAGGGCGCCAGGGGACAAGCGGCCAGCGGCCGCGTGCAACTGGGGCACGCGCAGCCGAGAGCTCGCACGCGCGTTCTTGCAGCCCGTCTGCGTCACGGCTTTCGGGCTCGGAGTCGGATGCGTGAACGTGCGCAGGCGAAGCCTGTGGCATGTCGACATCAGAATCCGGCGCGCTGCGCGCCGGAGGTGTCTCTTTTTGTCTCTGTCTCTCTG